ATCAACACTGCATTTAAGAAATTAACACTGCATTTAATGAACACAAATCTTGTGTTTGCTCCTAAAAGGTTGAGGGGACATTTACGTTGAGTTTACATTGAGGCTCTTATCCCCCTTTGTTCTTTGGAAGTTGGATAGAGCTGAACTAAACAAAATTAGAACGCTCTAATCCTAGAGGATTCCATGGCTCTAGGAAAGAGTGGAGCTACACATGGGCAGGAGTCTGGATCCCGGGATGGGGTGGGGAGTGGGGGGGATTCATGAAGATCTGCCGGGAGAGCTGCCCAATCAGATAGGCTCAATCTAGACTTGAGTCAGTGTGAGTCTTTTCCTTGGATTAGGTCACTGAACTTTGGGGGTTTATTTATCATGGCTTTAACCTACCCAAACTAATCTCTGCCCTCCTCTGAGAGTTTTTCACCCTAGTGGATCTTCCAACTTTGTCCAACATCCTGCTTCCCAGCTTATTTCCTCTCTTGAAGAAAACAAAAAGAAACAAATGGATATCTCTTAGGAGCAGAGGCAAACACAGCTGCAAAGCAAACAGTCACCCCAAGGGTCCCCAGAGAAGTGGGCTGCTTGCCAGGGTCCATGCTGGAGCATCACTTCACTGGCATACTGGCCAGCTTCCATCACATCCTCTGCAAGGAGACCTGGAGTCCCTCGTTTCCAACTCCATTCATTTTCAGCAGATAGTAACATAAACTCATCAAAAACAGCCTCAAATCCCCCTGTGACCTTTGTCAACATAGGGATGGGACTGGGTCACTCAGTATCTCCTTCCTGCAGAAGCAAAGACTTTCCCCAATCACACACTCTCCTCACCTGGGACAGCAGAGATGGTCATTCCCAAGTCCCAAACTTCAGTGCTGAAGGTAGAAGAGCGGGAATCTGCACTTCAGCTCTTCACCCAGTACCCTTGCTGACCACAAGAAGCAGAAAGGGGAGGGGTGGAGAGTGGAGAGAGAGAGAGTACAGCTGGAAGGGCACTTGCCTTGCACACAGCTAACCCAGGTTCAATCCCCTCTGCCACCTATGGTTCCTTTCCGGATCCTGGCAGGAGTGATGCCTAAACACAGAGGCAGAAGTAAGCCCTGAGCACTGCCAGGTGAGGTTTAAAAATAAACAAACAAAAAATGCACCTGAAGTGATCAAGAAAGGGATCAAGAAGGCTTAGGCTGAGGATCTGCTGCGGGTAGGGAGCAGGTTGTAGGAGGGGTAGGAGTCAGGCTATGTGAGTTTAGAGGTCATGACAGGGATGGAGAACCTTTGACCACTCAAGAACAGAGATGCTGTATCAAAGAAGAAGATTCCGGAAATAGCAGCTTAAGCCCTGTTTTGCTATGACATACTTGGGTGCGAACTCTAGTCAGAGGTGTGGGGAGACTGGGATGAGTTCTTCTGGATTTGGACTTTCTTCAAAGACTGAACTGAAGTATTTTCAGCACCCAGATATCACCCCCAGAGGAAACATTTGCCCACAGCCAAGGGAAAGTCCTCCTCCTAACTGTTCTGGGTGGCACTTCTGCCACTGGACTCTGAACCCCAGAATAGCAGGAGTTTTGCTTTGTTAGGCCTCCTAGCAAGGAGCTTAGTCAACTGGAGTTGAATGAATGACATATAACATTTGCTTAGTCAACTAGAGTTGAATAAAAATTGCTCAGGTTTGGTGGGGAGGATGGGGACTGAAGTCAACTGATGCCCCCATTCAGGAAATGTGTCAAGGAATGTCTTTCCCATTAACCTTCCCTCCCATTTCACTTCTGACTGTGAGGGTGACCACAGACCCCATGTCTTCTGGGAAAGGGTTGGGTCCAGGTGTACTCAAACACCTCAGGGCCTCTTGCGAGGATCCCTCAAGCCTCTTTAAAGGCTTAAATCTCAGGTTTATCAGCTCAGCAGTTAACTCCTCCACTGTGGAAGAAACCTATCCATTTTCCTTACTCTCATTCCAAAGAGCTCTCCTTAGAGAGATCAGATCAACAGAGAGGTTTCATTTTGCCTCTTAAACCAGTGTCATCACACAGCTGGATGGCAAAGAACCCCAGAATCCCCTGAGCCTCAGGACTCCCTGGGCTGGTAGGACTGTTCGACTCCTTCCTGACCTTAACATCTGATAAGCTGAGGCGGGAGGCACACAGACCACCTCACGGTGCCTGTCCTTCCACGCTCTTCACTCTTTCTCCTTGAGCTACAGAACCTTCCAAAGTCTCTTACAGGCCATCTGAGAACCCTCAAGGCAGGAGACAAGGTGAAGTTGCCTGTCTTTTTCCAGGTACCCTCTCTCCCACCTCTCTTCCTCGACCCTGCTGGCCTTCTGGGGGGCCTCTGGAGAGCAGAACCAGGCCCAGATGTGATGCCCATGGTAACCCATCACCCCCTCATTTCCAGCTCAGGTTTAATCGCCTATCCTTGAAAACAGGTCAAGTCCAGAATCAGCTGGACTCAGTGGGGCTTCCCCTGTTCCACACTGAGCAGGCAGCCAGTGACGGGCACCAAGCCTCCATCCCACGCTGCCATGAGGAGTTCTGGCATCTTCTTCCCAAGCCCCCTTTGGAAAGGCAGCTCAGAGTCAAGGTATTGCTTCTGATCCCCTGCCCCTCACCTCCCTATCCTTTCAATGAAGGAAAGATGGAAATTGTGGGGAAAGAGTTGAAGGCCTGGGGAACCCCCCCTTAAAAAAAAACCAAAATGTTCTTTGGGATGGGGAGTATATACCTGGTGTTGCTCCTGGGGCCATGGCAGTACTCAGAGGACCATCATGTGGTGTCAGGGATTTGAACCAGGGTCAGTAGGAAGCAAGGCAAATGCCTTCACCCTTGCACTACCCCGTCTAGTCCTTGGAAGCTTTTTCTAAGCTAAGATGGTCACAGCTTTGGCTTCCTGGCCTGGGAAAGGCCATGGGCTTGCCCAACTCTCAGTATTTCTCCCACTTCCTGTTGCTTCTCCCAAGCAACTTCTGCATGAGGACTCTCAGCCTCCTGCCCCAGGACACCAAAAATCAGTGGGCCCTGCCTCACTGCCCTCTGCCAAACACCCTCAGCTCCCTGAATGGCTCAGGGAGCTTCACCCCACACCCACATTTACGGTGGCATTACCCTTTCTGCTCCCCTTCCTCTGACACCCAGCAGTGTCCACCAGCAGCCTGGCCAGGACTTCTACGATGGCCAAGTCTTAGAAGTGATTTGGGGGGCTCTCAAACAGTGCTCAGGAGACCCAGAGGTCACCCTTATTCCACCAGTTCTGTACCAGCTCTACAGCGATTCAGTGAAGAGCTGGGGAATGTGACAGGCCTGAGGGACAGGAGATGACCTGGGCTTCCCTGGCAGTGGGTCTAGAGAGCCCCTAGAGGGCTGAACCTGGTGATGCCCAAGGATGGTTGCCAGAATGGAATCCAAGCTGGGTGCATGAGGTCCATATCTCAGGGCCTCTGAATGATGTCTTTCTGTCTCTCCCTACCTGCTACTTAGCAAGAAGCTTCTCAAATCCTCTCTCCACCTGGGCCCCCTCTTCTCCATTCTCCCTGCACAAACCCTGTTCCTCCAACGCCCCCGCTGGGCTAAAAAAACCAGGCGCTGCTCCGACACCTTAATACCGAAATGCACTGGACCGTCCTGTTAGGAAGACACCCCAATAGCCTTCACTTTAGTGAGGAGATCTGAGGCGTGAAGGGGATCACATTGGAAACTTAGCCTAGATCTGGAGCCAGATCTCCCTCCTTCCCACCCCTCCTTCCCCATTTAACCCCATCACCACAGGGTCTTTCCCACCTTCCTGCCCTAAAACCCTCCCTCCGCGGGACGAGGCCACTTATGTAGTGCGGCAATAAGAAACCATAAAGGTAAAGGCCCTCCCGTTGATCGTCGATTTGCTCGAGCGGGCCCAGTAACGTCTCCATTGGAGACTTTGTTGTTACGTCTCCATTGGAGACTTTGTTGTTACTGTGTCTGGCATATCGAATACTCTCGGTAGCTTGCCGGGCTCTCCGAGAGGGGCGGAGGAATCGAACTCGGGTCAGCCATGTTGGCCGCTTGTAAGGCGAACGCCCTACCCGCTGTGCTATCGCTCCAGCCCCATAGCCCGACATAAAGTAATAGCTTAGGCGTAGGTCCGTGCAGACCCCAGCGCGCTGGACAGAGTCCGAGGGCTGTAATCAAAGACGCTGTTTCTGGGATCTTCACAGGCCAGCACGGGTCACTGGGCCCTTCCCGGGCTCTCTCCACGACACCGCCCTGGACCGGGAGCCCCGGGACCCTCCCCTGGTCGGCTTGGCGGCGGTGCGGCAGATTCCCCCCGGGCGGCCCCCGGAGGTGTCCGGCCGCGGCGTGGAGCGGTTGGGTCTGCACCCGGCAGATCCCGGCCTCTTGCTGCTCTCTGGCGGCCGGATCCGGGAGCCCAAGGAACCGGGAGTCGCGACTTGGATGCTCCGCGCGCCCAAGGGCACCCGCGAGTGACCCCCGAGATTGGGGAACGGGCGGGGGCCGGGGAGAGGAGAGGGGCGCAGTGGAGGGGAAGGGGTGAAGGCCAGTGGGCCCCGGAGTGGTGTGGCAAAGGACCGCCGGGCAGAGCGCGAGAGGAGGCGGCGAGCCGGGCGCCCGCAGCGAGGCGGGGTGGCAGCCGCGGGGCGGCGGCGAGAGCCCCCTCCGTGCCCCACCACGCCCGTGTGCCCAGAGCGCAGAGCCCCCGCTCCCCGCGCGTGCGGTGCCCCCTCCGTCGGCGCCGGCCGCCCCCTCCTCCTCCTCGCCGCCGCTGCCCCTCCTCCGGCCCGCCCCCCGCGCCCAGGAGCGCGCGCCGCAGTGGCCGCCGCCTGCACCGCCCGGCCGCCCCCCGGAACCTCCGCTTTGCCGGCTCTCCGGGGCACGCTCGGAGAGCGCCAGCCGCGCGCCTCCAGCCCCGGCTCTCGGTGCGACTCCACGGCCGGACCCCCCGGGGACAGCCCCGGCCGCCAGCCCGGCCAGCCCGGCCAGCCCGGCCGGCCCCGGTTCGGCTCGCGGGCAGCCGCGCTCCACCGCACCCGGCGCACGGACCGGCCCCCGACGGGACCGGCGCGCCGCAGCCCGCAGCCGCGCGGCTATGCCCGGTGCCCCCGTCCTCTCCCGGGCCCGGGCCCCGACGGCCGCGCCTTGAGATGACTTTCCGCCACCTCCTGAGCGTCAGTTTCCAGGGACCTCGCCCGGACAGCGGCGCCGGCGGCTCCCCCACGGGCGGCGGGGGCGCGGGCGCGGGCGGCACGGCGGCCCCGGAGGGCCCGGCGGTGGGCGGCGTGCCGGGGGCCGCGGGCGGCGGCGGCGTGGTGGTGGTGGGCGCGGGCGGCGGCGACGACAACCGGAGCTCGGCCGGGGAGCCCGGGGGCGCGGGGGGCGGCGGCGCGGTGAACGGCACGGCGGCGGCCGTCGGGGGGCTGGTGGTGAGCGCGCAGGGCGTGGGCGTGGGCGTCTTTCTGGCCCTCTTCATCCTCACGGCCGTGGCGGGCAACCTGCTGGTCATCCTCTCCGTGGCCTGCAACCGCCACCTGCAGACGGTCACCAACTACTTCATCGTCAACCTGGCCGTGGCCGACCTGCTGCTGAGCACCACCGTGCTGCCCTTCTCGGCCACGATGGAGGTGCTGGGCTTCTGGGCCTTCGGGCGCGCCTTCTGCGACGTGTGGGCCGCCGTGGACGTGCTCTGCTGCACGGCCTCCATCCTCAGCCTCTGCACCATCTCCGTGGACCGCTACGTGGGCGTGCGCCACTCGCTCAAGTACCCTGCCATCATGACGGAGCGCAAGGCGGCCGCGATCCTGGCGCTGCTCTGGGTCGTGGCCCTCGTGGTGTCGGTGGGGCCGCTGCTGGGCTGGAAGGAGCCGGTGCCGCCCGACGAGCGCTTCTGCGGCATCACCGAGGAGGCGGGCTACGCCGTCTTCTCCTCCGTGTGCTCCTTCTACCTGCCCATGGCCGTCATCGTGGTCATGTACTGCCGCGTGTACGTGGTGGCGCGCAGCACCACGCGCAGCCTCGAGGCGGGCGTCAAGCGCGAGCGCGGCAAGGCCTCCGACGTGGTGCTGCGCATCCACTGCCGCGGCGCGGGCGCGGGCGCCGCCGACGGCGCGCACGGGGCCATGCGCAGCGCCAAGGGCCACACCTTCCGCAGCTCCCTGTCCGTGCGCCTGCTCAAGTTCTCCCGAGAGAAGAAGGCGGCCAAGACCCTGGCCATCGTCGTGGGCGTCTTCGTGCTGTGCTGGTTCCCCTTCTTCTTCGTGCTGCCTCTGGGTGAGTGACCCCCCGGGCCCCGTCTTTCCACAGCCTCCCTGAGCCAGTCTGTGGCCATGCCTTCGGGGCGCCGACGGCCATCTCCTACGGAGCAGGGAACTGCACCTGGATAGGGAAGGTTGAGGACGAACCTCTCTCTGGCCTCTTAGGTGCCCCCAAGCCTGGTTCAGTTTAGGGGCACGTGCAGGTGCTTTCAGGATTTGTTTCACGGACTGTGCTATTCTCTGTGCTATTCTATTCTCCTTCTCCGTGGCCATTACAAGCCACAAGGGCTATTTACACCCTCGACTCTTCTAAATAAACACAGAGCAGTGGGCATCTGGCCAAGACAAGTAGTGGGCAGTGTATATGTTCGCCTGTGTGTGCCCCCTCTGTCCCCCCAGATAGGAAAAAACCCCAGAAGTGGTGCAAGGACTTGCAGAGTGATTCAGTCTGTAATAGTTCATTCATTCAGATGCTGCAAGGCCTGGGGATTGCCCCCCCCACCACCACGAGCTGGCTACCTACTTCCTCCCAGCTCCCATTGATGTTGGACATCACCCCCTGCCCTGCCCTGAGATTCTCTACTGCTGATGTCCGTGATTGCCCGGAGAACTCTCTTGGGGGTAGGGGTGGGTGAAGGAAAGGTAGTGGGTAGACTAGGGATCACAGAGTCCTGCTGAGAATAGCCGTATTTTCCACTCTCCGAATCCTTTTAGCTCTTCAGAGAACTTTCTTGTTTTCTTTCACCGGCTTTGCTGCAGTGCTGGGAGCTAAGCAGCTATTCTCAGGGGCTTCCTAAACCCTCTCATAGCCCTTTGGGGCTGCTTTGGGGAGGGGAGGGCATCTCTAGGGATGCAGTCACCCCAAGTCCCTTGACTCATGGCTGCAACTCCAGCCAGCCCAGCCCCCACCCCCACCCCATGCCCCCACCTTGCTCCTTCCACGTGCTGCAGCCTAGTTGGGAGAGCGCCCCGGCCTTCTTCCCTAGAGGGCCCTCTCCACGCAGCCTCCAGAGTGACTGACCACAGGCACAGCCAGGATAGCAAGGGCCCAGGCTCAGTCCCCCTCCTGTAAGGAAACCCTAAGGGAGAGCACGGGGATGACCTCCCCTCTGGCCCCATGGTTTGTGTCCTCCCTCCGGCATGCTCTGTCCCCTCTGACCCTCTTCCAGTTTCTTGCTACACCCAGTCCCTACCCTTGCACTTGCTCTTCTCTGGCTCTGGCCTGCCCACCCTTCCAGACTCTCCAGTTGCAGCTGCTTCTTTGGGGCCATGTTCTACTGCTCTCCCACCCTCACCCTCCCCGCCTTTCAGGGTTTTCCCTGTGTCTTTGCCTTTTCTCGCAGGAGCAAGCCTCCCTCGCCTGACTGGCTCTCTTACTGTAACCACATCGGTGTCTGGTGTGTTATGTGGCCCAGGGCCCCAGGCCCGAGGAGCAGCAGGGCACGGCCACGAGGATACAGGCGCTGGTGCCAGGTGGCCTGGGTTTGAAGCCAGTTCCTCTCCCATCCCCCTCGCTGGGCAGCCTTGGCAAATCTGGGAACTGCTCTGTGCCTGTCTGGGCATCTGTAAAATAATAGGGGTGGTGGTGGCCGAGATGGGGCCAGCGCCCCCTGGAGGGCTGTCCTGAGGCTTCAGTGAAAGACTGTGTGAGTGAAACCTGGGGTCCAGGATCAGCTCTGAGCTGTTGCTTTGGGAAATGGATAGTCAATGTCCAGCAGGAAGGAACGAATGAAAAATCTACTGACTTGAAAATCATCAGCAGGAATCGTCTGCTGCTGGGGAGTGGGGCTAGGGAGCAGTGGGGAGGCAGGCAGGAGAGGGTCGCTGTGCCCCACTTTGAAGAGACACCTACCCACCCACGTGCCTTTCCCCCACCCACCCACTGCTCCAGTCGGGTTCACGCTGACCCCCAGTAGGAAGTGATGTATTGCGTGTGGGATGCCGCCATCCTCAGTGGGCATGTGGCTACCTTCTAAGGTTTTCCAGCAGAGAACACACAGATGTGGAGGAAGTAAGACAGTGAATGTCTGTCCTCTGAATCACCCACTTTGAACAGATGTCACCTTTGGCCATATTTGCCTCTGATCTCTTCCTCTCTTTCCAAAGAAATAAAATGGACCCAGTGAAGCCATCTATCCCGCCCCCTTTCCTCATTTCCTCCCTCTTTCCCCAGAGGTAAATCTAGTGTTTTTCACTTATTCACATAGATGTCTGCTCTTCCCACCAACCATCTGCAGCCTGAACAGAGCCTGGCGTTGGTGGCTGTGTGTCTTTAGGATTTGTGCCAAAATTGGTCAGCCTTTGTTTGGCTTTTTTTCAGTGTCTATCCTTGAGATTTTCCTGCACTGGTTCATTTTGATGGCAGTCTAGTATTCCAGTAAGGAGTTCCATGGCATGGTGCCTTCTGCTGCTGAGTGCTGGGCTTTCAGTTTGTTCAGTGTTCAGTTCATCACAAAAGACTTCTGTCCCTGGAGCTCCAGATTGATGTGTTGTGTTTCAGTCTTTCTTAGCATGAGAACGGATCCATGGACTGGATCAGCATTTCCCCTTTAAGAAAGGCCTCCAGAAGCTTCCACCAGGGAAGGTTGAAAATCATGGAACTGGGAGGCCAGAGCATGAGACTAAGAACCAGGTGGTAGGATTGGGGAACCAGAGGGAAATGAGCTTCGGAGGGGACCCCAGTGGAGAAAAGATTGAGAAACACTGAATAAATTCCAGGTCCCCCTCTTCTGCTAAGTCATCCGTAAACTTCCGTGACCTTCGCCTCTTGGTCTTCCTCAAGCTTCCCATCTGTTCTGTTCCTCACACATCTGAAGGGGTCCCAGGGTAGTCCTTGTGCCCTCCTTCCTGTCGCTGATGGGGCTGCACCAAGTGGCATCTGGCAGCAGTGAGGAAAGAGGATGGAGGCTGAGCAGAATCTGAGCGGGTGGGCAGCAGAGGGCCAGGGAGGCAGAGGCTGTGGGCACAGGAACAGCCTGGGGGCATGCAGGAGGGAGGCACTGGAGGAGCCCAAGAGCTCCTGGTCCCGCCCCGGCTCCAGCACGAGACCTGGGCAGAGGGAGATGCCTTTGAGGCAAAGGGAACATTCCAAGAGGCTACTTTGAGGGAAGGAAGGTGGATGGAATCCAGAGCATATGTTGGCACAGAAATGCCAGCATGTAGTGGGTTGTGGAGTGGAGGACACGGAGACTGGTTAAGGAGACCCAGGCTATTTCCAGGGGGAAATAGTCTCCCCCAAAAAAGAGGATTCGGAAGGATAAAAAGAAGAAAGAGGAGAGATAGTAGAGAGTTAAGGTGCTTGCCTTGCACATGACTGGGTCTGGTTCAGTCCCCACATATGGTCCCCTGAGACCCACCAGGATAAGGATCTGTGTACTGAGACCAGTTTTGCTCACATACGCACATGTGCATGCATGCATATAACATGCCACAGGCTCACCGCCTTCTTCTGGTCACAGCCAGACCCTCATCTCTGTGCTGGGGGAAAGGTCACTGAACCTCCCAATTGGCCTCTGTTTGTGGTTAGTCACACAAAGTAGCCACAGAGCTCAGTGCCCAGTCCCTCCTCAGCACACCTCCTGGGCACGAAGACTGTCTGACCGTAGGAGTATGTCTCGGGACAGGCGCACCCAGTCTGCACCTGAGGCCTGCCTCCCCACCCCAGGTTTGCGTGCTCACATCTCAAAGGACAGTCTCCGAGAGACAAGAGTTGGTGTGGAATCAAAAGGATTTATTCAGGGGCTGGCGAGCCAACAGGGTGGACTCATGTGTCCCAGAGGAAACCATCTCGCTCTCAGACTGGGGAGAGGGTGTCTGGAGAGAGGCTGGGAAGGAAAGGTAGAAATTTATGGCTGTGGACAGAGCAGGGACTTCTGTCTCCAGGACGCTGAGGCTGGCATCATAGCTAATGGGTCCTTGGAGGGTGATGCTCATTGACACGGCCAGACCACCAGCCCTCGCCAGGGTCTGCGCAACCATGTTGAAGAGCCTTCCCAGGGCTTGTGGTTGACTCTTCCCCAAGGGAGAGAGGAGTCCGGGGGTGGGGAGTGTTCCCCGGGTACCTGTTGTTTCCTCTCTCCCCCCCTCCCACTCCTCCTGGACCTGGTTCTATTGCAGACACACAGAGTGTGAGAACTTGTCTTAGAACACACAGACAGGACAAAGAACCAAGTGGGGAAGAGGGTATAGAAATCTCTCTCTCTCTCTCTCTCTCTCTCTCTCCCTCTCTCTCTCTCTCTCTCTCTCATCCCCCCACATCTGTCCCCCTCTGTGTGCATATCTAGATGGGGTCACTAATGCTCACTTACACCCTGCCCACCCCCAAACTAGGTTCCCCAGACACATCACGTACGTCTTTCACCATGCACTGTAGTTGTCAGTATTCCTGCACATAGCATGAAGGAAAGGGCTTCTGTACATGTGGAGGCAGTGAAGGGTCGAGGTGACAGAGGGTACCCTGTGTATGGCGTCTGTGACAAGAGGGTCAGAAGATGAAGCGTGATGCCACCCCCAGGAGGAAGGGAGGGGCGCACTGACAAGACTGCAGCTAGGAAAGATCCCCAACTCGGGTCTGCGGGAAACGGAGGGGCTGCACAGCTCATGTAGACTAGTGAGTCAGGACGCACATTGGCAGCTTGTGTGCCAGACAAAGTCTGTGTGCCTGCAATTCCAGAGCAGACAAAAGTCACGAAGGAGGATGCAAGGAGGGGAGGTAGCTCCAAGGTCTAGAGCACGTGTGCCTCACGTGCTTACGGCCCCACATCAGCTCCCCGGCATGGCTTGGTCCCCACGCCCCACCTGGAGTGGCTTGGTGACTCCCAACCTCTCTGATTCCAAACAGTACCACACTGCCAGGACAAGCATTTAACCATCTCTGTGGGTTCAAGAATCACCGGGAGTCCCCAAGAGTGGCCCCAGGCACTGCTTGGAATGGGAATCCACCTCCCCCACCCCGCAAAAAAAAAAGATATTTCTTTTTGTTTGCTTTATTTTTGTTCTGGAGGGCTACACCTAGAG